TATATATATATATATATATATATATATATATATATATATATATATATATATATATATATATATATATATATATATATATATATATATATATATATATATATATATATATATATATATATATATATATATATATATATATATATATATATATATATATATATATATATATATATATATATATATATATATATATATATATATGGGCGGTTATAGGATGATCTTACATCCCATATTTTATATTTTTTATAGAGATGATGATGATGTTTCCACATTTAGTTGATTCGGTTTAAATATTTCTGCCTCTGTTGTTGTTCTTGATGATGTTTTCAGTTGTAGCGTATATAATGTGAGTCTGAGTTATATATATATAACAATAACAATAGTAATAATAATAATATAATATATTAATAATAATATTGTTTATTATTAGTAGTATTGTTGTTTTTTCACATTTATTTCATTTTATATTTAAATTTCTGATCTGAAAATTGCTTTTAAATTCGGTGCTGTTGAGTTTAAATTATCAATCAGCCTCGTCAGCCGGTGTTCGGATACAAAGGAGATAGGTTTGTCTTTTCTTATTAATTAATTTTGTTTATTATTATTATAATTAATATAATTATTATTGATGTTATTATTGTCATATTTAAATTTGCATTATATATATATATATATATATATATATCTACCATCTAAAAGTTTCATCGTCATATTTATTTATTTCTAATTAAGTTTTTAGTTTTTTCGACGTCTTCATCTCTATGTTTTGTTTGTTGTCGAAACGTTTACAATCCAAATAAACAACCAGCAAATAATAAAAAAAAATATATAAAAATAGCAAAGTTCTCGGGCGCCAGGTTTTAAAAAGTTAGTAAGTACAAATGAACATACATACGTACTTACATACTAACACATACATACAAACACATACATACAAACATATACTAACGCACGAACCTACAAACCAACAAACATGCCAACCAAAAAACAAACATACAAACATACCTACATACATACATACAAACATACCTACATAATAACATACAGACAAACAAATAAACAAACAAACAAACATACAAACAAACAAACAAACATAAGAACAAACAAACAAGCATACATACATACAAACATAAAACACTCATTCGTGATTTCATAATTGTAATTAAAACCATGTCATTACTAGTGTACTCACTAGAAGGTGTTATGTATATATTAATATATAGGTACATCCTGATAACTGCGAACAAGCAAACTCACGTACGTTGAAACATATGATGCCATTTTAAACACACGCATATTCTCAATTACACTCTATCTATTGGGTATAATGATTACAGTAATTACAATAATCATTTTAACTGAATATTTTGGTTGGAAATTAAAAAAAAATTGTAAGTTAAAATAAATAATACACACGCCACACACACAACACACACACATATATATATATATGTGTGTGTGTGTGTGTGTGTATATTGTTAGTGTTGTCTGTACTTTGAACTATATGTATATGTATATATGGAAGTAAAAACAGGTCATTAAATTTTAAATTTGCTTTTTAAATTTAATAATTAAAATAATCATTAATTTAAAGGAAATATAAAAAACTATCTGCAATCCTGAATTATATCAACTCATCCAAAAATCCTATTCTGCACTACAAAACTACATAAAAATAGTGTTATTTAACCAACATTCTACCAGTCTACCAAACTGTCAACCTGTTTTATTAGCTTTGTTTATTTTTGCTCTTTACAATAAATAACTACTTGGTTGCGCAACCTTACTCACTAAACAAGATGGCGGAGATATCAAAGATTATAAAAATATTACGGGCCCTTTTTACAAGGTATATGTGACGATAATAAGAATTTACTATATATTATATATTCTATATATATTATGTTATATCTAGGGTGTCTCATCTCGATATAAGGTATTGTTTCGGTTACACCATGGTTATACCTAGACAGACAGCAGACAGACACGCACAACTCACACACACACACAAACACATACTTACATGCATATACACACACACACACAGACAGACATACAGATACATCATGCTATTACCTTTAATTTAGATTGATTAATCGCCTGACAAATGCACAGTATATGGGAAGTTAAAAGAAGAACGTTGAAGAGGTTGAGAGAAAAAGTGAAAAGGAGAACAAAAAGAAAGGGAAAGAGTAAGAGAGAGAGAGAGAGAGAGAAAGAGAGAGAGAGAGAGAGAGAGAGAGGAGAGAGAAACACATGAAGGAAAGAAAAAATTAAAAGAAAGAAAAATCAGAAACAAGAACGAAGAAATACCAAAAGATACAGTGAAACCGACAGATGGAGAGGGTGATAGAAAGGAAGAGACAAAGAAAATAAGAGAGAATGAGAAAGATAGAACAAATGAAAAGGAAAACTAAAAAAGGAGAGAGAGAAATGAGAAAGGAGACAGATAGACAGATAACGAGAGAGAGAGAGAGAGAGAGAGAGAGAGAGTAAATAGTAAAGAAAACAAAGAAACAATAACTCACAGAATACAAACACAACACAGACAGACATTATATAGGAAAATAGCATGCTTATATTGATACAATTGAGCTTTATCAAATCTAAATGAATGGCTCAGTGATATTAATAGCATGTCTGTTTCTTCTTATGCAATGATTTATTTTTTTTACATCCAAGTTCTCAGCGACTCTTTAAGAAGTTATCAATAACAATTATCTGAAAAGGCTTCTGCTAGTACTACTGCTGCTGATGCTTCTACTAATACTATTACTGTGACTACTTCTACTACTGCGGCTACTACTACTACTACTACTGTTCCTAATACTACAAAAATTAAAACTACTACTCAAACACCCCCATTACTATTACAGCTACTACTACTACAACAACAACTGCTACCACAACTGCTGCTGCTACTTCTGCTACTACTACTGCTACTACTACTACAAGTGCTATTAATTTTAAAATCCTTTCACATGGCGTTTTCGTTCGTACAGTTAAGTTACGTTATTGTACCTTTGCGTCTTCAGATGCATTGTACTGTGTGTATTTTTATCCATTGTACTTGTGTTGTATAGGTTCGGTATTTTAAAAATGATATTGTTATTTTTATTATTATTGTTGTTGTTTGTAGTAATATTAGTGGATAGTAGTAGTAGTAGTAGTAGTAGTAGTAGTAGTAGTAGTAGTAGTAGTAGTAGTAGTAGTAGTAGCAGTAGTAGTAGTAGTGATAGTAGTGATTAGTAGTAGTGATAGTAGTAGTAGTAGTTTAGTAGTAATAGTAATAATAATAATAATAATAGTATTATTATTATTATTGAATAATTTATTTTTGTGTGTTTTACTAAATAGATATTTCATATCATTAAACTTTTAACTTAAAACGTATTCATACATTTTATTATTATTATTACTACTACTACTACTACTATAATTATTATTACTATTATTGTTGTTGTTGTTGTGTTGTAGTTTTTGTTGTTGCTATTATTATTATTATTATCGTCATCGAAATTTTTATTTATTCTTCATCATTGAAGTTATAATTGCCGGTGATGTTGTTTGTGTTGTTGTTGTTGTTATTGTTGCTATTGTTATTATTGTTGCTATTGTTGTTATTTTTGTTGTTTTTATTGTTATCCAGTCTAATGATGATGAATGACTGAATGATTTTATAACAAGTTATAATGCTTATGACGATGATGACGATGATGATGACTATGATTTGGTGGTAATCATAGTGATAGAGATGATTTAAATAATCAAAGATAAGATGAAATCCGTCATGATGATGATGATGATGACGACGACGATGATGATAATGATGATTACAGAGCGGTATGGTAATAAAATTAGGTAATAAGTTAAATTGATTATGATGATGATGATGGTGTCAGGAAGACGATGGTGATGATAATGATAATGATTATAACGATGATGAAGATGACGACGAGATGATGTTCTTGGTGGTGATGATTTAATGCTGCCTTGCTATTTCTTATAAGTAGAAAAAAAACGGAGAACATCCTTTAATTCTCCTTGTGTGTGTGTGTGTGTGTGTGTGTGTGTGTGGTGTGTGTGTGTATGTATGTGTGTATGTTTATTTCTTTGTTTGTATTTGTGTGTGTGCGTGCGTGTGTGTGTGTCTGTGTGTATGCATGTTTACTTCTTTGTTTGTGTGTGTGCGTGCGTGTGTGTGTGTGTGTGAAGTGTGTTTTTCTATGTGTGTGTGTTTATTTGTTTGTATGTGTGTGTATATGTGTGTTTGTTGTGTGTGTGTGTGTGTGTGTGTGAGTACATACAGATAAATATACTTCTGTATAACACAACGTATAAATGAACGTTGAGTTTTGTTTTTTTGTCAATCTAGGCCAATTTTAATCGGGCATCAGGTTGCATAGAAAATTGATGATAATTTCGTGAAAATAACAACATACATAACAACAACTACATTAAACAATAGCAATAATAATAAAAATAATAATAATAATATTGTCTAAAACAACAACAATAATAATAACAACAACAACACCATTATCTTAACTACAACAACAACGACAACAATAATAACACAAACAACAACTTTATGTACATAATATTCATCACATTTATCTCTAACTATTGAACAATCATTTTCATTCATTAATAACATGAACAGCAATACTAAGAAGAACACAACTTCAGAAACAACATCTTCAGCAACAACAAGCAACTAACTAAACACCTATTCAGAATGGATACGAACCTCGTGAAACGAATCTCCAACCAGCAGAACGGTTCATCACCGACCACAGTGGCGAACTCTTCTCAACCAGACGCAGCAACCACAGCTGAAGCGCTCGTCAGCAACGGCTCTACGCATATCGCGGAGTCGCAAGCGTTTTTGGCAAACCAGCAAGGAGTTTGGGGCAGACTGTCTTCGGTGGCCGTCACTACGGAAAGCTTTCTAAAGAAATTGTTCCTCATGTACATCATGCCTCTGTACTTGGTGGTATCCTCGCCCAACGTCATACTGATCCTGTGGTACACCGTTGTTAAGTGTGATTCCAGTTTTGCTGTATTCGGCTCCAAGTTCAGAAAGCTCGGTCCGGTTGCAATGTTTAAGGAGGTTTGGGGTAGTGTAGATTTCTTCGACTCGTTTGTCTACATCTTCGTCATCTCCTACTGCACTCTTCAGGTCATTTTGATGAAAACACTTCCCGGCAAAAAGTTCACAGGACCAGTAACCAGTCGCAACAATGTACCTTTGTACTATGACAACGGCTTCAAGTGTTATGTTGTCACTATGTTCATTTACACCGCTATCTCCATCTTTCTCTACAAATTCACGAAATACAGAGTTACTATTTTTTACGATCATTTTGGAAACTTTTTAGGCATTATGACTTGCGTCAGTTTGGTGTTGTGTCTTTTTCTCTACTGGAAGGGTCTTAAGTATCCCAGTTCCTCTGATTCAGGGACCACTGGAAATTTTTTGTTTGATTATTATTGGGGTACTGAGTTGTATCCCAGGATATTCGAGATTGATGTAAAGGTTGGTTGGTTGGTTGGATGGTTGGTTAATTGGTTGGTTGGTTAATTGGTTGGATGGTTGGTTGGTTTGTTGGCTGGTTGATTGTTCGGTTGTGTTGTTGCTGTATGATATGATTGATTTTTTAAATTAACAAGTTGTTGGTTATCGATGAACAATTTATACAAAACTATATAAAATAATCGCGCTCAATTTAAAAGGCAACTGCAAGCTGAATTATTATTTTCGACCGTCGCCATTGTTTGTTATATTTCCCATCATACTTGCTTCATTCTCTATCATTCTATTTTTCAATCACTCTCAAACATACACACATAGACATGCATTTTTTCTGTCTCTTTCTTTTTCTTTCTTTCGCTCTATATTCATTTTCTCTCTCTCTCACTTTCACACACACACACACACACACACACACACACACACACACACACGTTCACACGTACACACACGTTCACACGTACACACACACACACACTTTCACACACACACACAAACACCCGTACAGGTCTTCACGAACTGCAGATTCGGCATGACGATGTGGAGTTTACTGGTGGTCACGTTCGCCCTCAAGAACTACGAACTCTACGGCTTTGTAGACAGCGTGTGGCTGTCGACGGCGCTGCAGACGATCTATTTTGTGAAATTTTTTTGGTGGGAGTCTGGATACCTGAGCACTATCGACATTATGATGGATAGAGCCGGGTTCTACATATGCTGGGGCTGTCTGGCCTACATTTCTGGACTCTATGCTTCAGTTTGTGTGTTACTGATATGTGTGTGTGTGTTGTGTGTGTGTGTGCGTGTATGTGTGCGTGCGTGTGTGTGTTGTACGTGTGTGTGTGTGTGTTGTGTGTGTTGTACGTGTGTGTGTTTGTGTGTGTGTGTGCCTGTGTTGTTGATTAATTAATAAGTTAATTGGTGGATAATTAGTTAGTAGTGTTAGGTGATTGGTTGATTAGTTTGCTGGCGGGTTGTTTGATTGGTTGTGTGATTGGTTTTTTTGATTAGTTGGACAGCTGGTTGGTTGATTCTTCACACGTTCGTGATAAAAGTTTTTTATTTTCCAAATTATTTTTATCATGTACTTTGTCCTTTTACTGAAGTGCATGCGATGAAGGATGGATGGATGGATGGATGGATGTTTATTTGGTTGGTTGCATGAATTTGACTTGTTTGTTTAAGCATTACATTTTTAAAAATTAACTTACAACGTCTGTTTAATTTAATTTGAATCACACACACAAATTTACTTATATACACATATACACTCGCATCACATACACGCACAAACATAAACACAAATTCACGCCCACACACACACACACACACACACACACGCCCACGCACATACATACACGCTCCCCCCCACACACACACACACACACACCACACAACAAAAGCACACACGCTGAAACACATATACACAAACGCATGCACGCACGCACACGCACACAGTTGAGCCTGCATCTGGCGACACATAGAGTTATCCTTGGATGGACGCTCACTTCTTTAATCTTCGCCATTGGACTGACGAGCATCGGCGTCAACTATTGGGCGGATTATCAGAAGCAGGAGGTGAGGCGTACAAATGGGGCCTGCCTAATCTGGGGGAAAAAGGCTGACGTCATCAGGGCTTACTACGAGCTCGAGGATGAAAATAAAACCGTCAAAACTTCTCTGTTGTTGGTCTCAGGTTAGTTGGCTGGCTGGCTGGCTGGCTGGCTGGCTGTTGGTTGGTTGGTTGGTCGGTTGGCTGGTTGGCAGGCTATTGTTAGGTTGGAAGGTTGGATGCCGACCGGTTTGATGGATGACTGGTTGGTTGGCTGATTGGTTGAATGTTAAGTTATTTTTGTAGCAATGCGCGGTAAAATTTTCTGTTCCGTCTTTTTAAAAGTATTAAAATAGTTAATTGTCATTGTTTAACCACGTTTTAAAATTGTTTAATTCATCACTAGAGCAGTTTTAGCAATAAACAATTGAATTATTTATTGAAAAAAGTCATACAACATTCAACAAAATCAAATGAACAGCTTGAAACCTCGCCAACTCATCCACTTAATTACCAACCGACCAGGTTTCTGGGGCATTTCTCGCCATTTTCACTATCTCCCAGAACTTTTGCTCGCGCTTTGCTGGTCTGTCCCTGCCGGATTTCAACGAGCCATGCCTTACTCCTACCTCTTCTTCCTCACCATACTTCTCGTTCACCGCACCTTCAGAGATGATACGAAATGTAGGAAGAAGTACAAAGTCTACTGGGAGCAGTACTGCAACAAAGTACCCTACAAAATGATCCCAGGAATCTTTTAAGGAAACTGGGATTTAGGATGTTGTTCATCGTTCTTTCTTGTGTTATTATTATAATTAATTTAATGATAATAATTATTATTATTATTATTATTGTTTTTAATATTATTATTATTATTGTTGTTGTTGTTATTGCAGTTAGTGTTGTACCGTAATAAATTTTGTCTTAAAATGAAGCCTGCCATATCACATGATTAGGCTGATTTTGAGTTCGTTCTTATTGTCAGCGTTATTGTGGGTTTATTATTATTATTATTATTATTATTATTAATATTTAATTTATTTTTTTTACTTTTCTTAATTTTATCGGCATTGGCAATCCTCATATTACTTTCATTATTGTTATTGTTATTATTACTATTATTTTTGTTATTACTATTACTATTGTTGTTGTTGTTGTTGTTGTAACTGCTCTCATAATTCATTCAACTTATAACTAATTCATTCTCAATAGGAGCTTAAATATGCGAACAACATTTTATATGGATGGATATTTCATGGTGCATTTGGGATATTTAAGCTGGCGTTGAACAAAACCTCTTTCCATTTAGACATTACTATTGAAAATATTAATTTATTTATTGCTGTAATTGTTTATAAATAATAATTTGTTAAAATTAATATTATAATATTTAATAGAAATAATATTAATAATTGTTTATTTATAAATTATCTAGTAAATCTATTCTAGATTAATATTATTTGTAAACTACCCAACAACATTTAAGCTAGGACAGCGTGATGGCTCAATGGTTAAAGGCGCCTGGTCTTGCTGCTGCAGTGACTGGGTTCGAATACAAAGAGATCCCCGCTCATCGTATGCAATGTGTATGATGCGTGGTTGGCACGCGTATTCATATACGCTGTGTGTGTTTGTCGTTGAAAGCTCTGAAGCAAACTCAAAAGAGAGAGAGAGAAAGTAACCTTTAACCTTTATTTGAAGACGTGTAATAATTATTATTTATATAATAATAATATTATTATAATTATTTGAAGACGTGTAATAATTAATATTTATATAATAATAATATTATTATAATTATTATTTATTTCTTGTTATTATTGCTATTACCATAGTAATTAATAACAATAACAACGATATTATTACTTAGGTTATTATCATCTACAAAACGGCTATGCTATATTAATTTTATTTTTATAACCACAAATGTGTGTGTGTGTGTTTGTGTGTGTGTGTGTGTTAACTTTTATAAATTAAAGTATACATACACAAAGAAATTTATTTTTTTTTTTGGTTAATTGTTACTAGAACTTCTTGGGTGATAATAAACTTTTAATTAATAACAGAAAAAATGTTTTTGAATTAATAAATTAGTTAAAAATATTTAAAATCTCAAAGTAAACATTTTTTTATTATAAAATTTTATAGATGTTTTTTAAAATATAATTAAAAATCGCAATTTGTCACAATTCCTTTTAATCAATGATTAAAATTGTCCTAAATTATCAGAACCAGAAATAATTATCACGATTTAATAATAATATATTACCATAATTTAATAATAATAAATTATATTTTTTTATAGTACAGTCTTTGAATGCTTTATTTCAATTTTTCTCTTGCCTGGTTCGGAAACCTTAAATCTGAAAATATAAATATAAACTACTGTTAATATTTTCATTTTTTAATAAATATTTATTTTATTATTATTATCATACTATTATTCTGCTTTTTATTAAAATCAGTATGTCTTATACAATTATAGTTACACTAATTTATTAATTAATATAACTTTTAAAAGTGACCAAAATGTTACTACCCCACCACGAACTCTGATATCCATAAAATTGTTGCGCTGAAATTGCGAAAGTAATTATTATCCTCAAATAATTATAGATTAACTAATTATGAAATGCGAATTCAACTAAGAAATGTGAAGGGCAATTGAGTTTGTTAATTAATTATTATAATCTATCCAATTGATTAGGTTAATTTATTCAAATATTTAAATCAAGAAAATGGGAAAATTTAAGAGAATGAACTAACTGCAGACGTTGGAAAAACTACTGGGGCATGAAACAAGTTCCATAAGTATGACGTCACTGATCAGGTCGATGTTGATGATGATGACGATGATTATTTTGCGTGTTTCACAGTTTTTAACATGATATTGCAAAGTAGAAAAATTCCCAGCGTAACTCCATAACCCAACAACGCCAAGTTCAACCTCCTTGCAACTCATGAGTGTTGGGCTCATATAGAGCAATTTTCCAATCGGTGATGCAAAGACATCTTTTCTAACAATCAATTAGTAATGGAAACAAAAAGTTATAGAATCAAGATAATAACAATTAATTAAATATACGGCGCAATTTTCACAACTGCTTTTTGACTATTCCAGCAGACATAACAATATTATAAATTGCTCATAAAGTTAAGTTTTAATGAAGTTTTAGTAAGAATCAATTTATTACAATTAAATTATTCAAATTAAAAAATATATAACTTGATAAAAACTTAAAATTTGAAAATCGTAATAAATTTTAATTTACCTATGTTCGTAACAGTCTGGCCATGTTCTAAAAATTTGTGTTGGCCATGTTCTAAAAATTTGGCCATGTTCTAAAATTTGTGTTTTTTATTAGAGTATTTATCTTGATGAGTTTAATATTAAACTATTTAGTTTGTTTGTGTTGTGACATGTGTCTCGTTATATATCAAATTTTTTACGGGCGCACAGAAGTTTTGTTCAATTTTTTCATGACATATTTTAAAAAATACAAGATTAACAAATTGAATACAAACATACATACATTTATAATCAATGCATTTGCTCTTTAATACTATTTATAGATGAACGTTTTGCATGTGAATTGTCAGGGACATCTCCAACGTGCAAGATGGCTCAATGCAAAGGTCTGCTTCATGTCTTGATGGCTCTCTGCTTCTTCGTTCTCACCATCGAAGGTTGTCTTTACGGCTGTTTCTACATTTTTATTTATGTTTAAATGTAGTTAGTTTCTAAATACGCTCAACCATTTATTTTGCGCGCATGATATTCCCACAGTGTCGTTTATGTGGTGTGGTCGAAGTTAGCTTCATCAATTTCACGCCTATTCACCACATCAAATGTTAGCAACATTTATATTTTAATTTAAACGATAATTGAAACGATTGGAGGTAAATGTCCAGAATGTTTCGTGAGAGTCGGCGGAAGATGTGTCAAGGTCATTACGGATCAGTTGAACGGTGACGAGGGCTACGCTAGATGTGAACAGTTAGGGGCTGATTTGGCTGTTGTCGATACATTCGATTATTTTATTAAATTGGGCTCATTCCTAATGGACAACTACAATGGTATTTTTATTGCTCTTAAATAATAAAGTTTTTATATGAAAAAAAAGTTTAAAAATCACTGTTGTAGATACCTGTTACAGTCCGACCAGGAAATCGATCAGCTATTGGACAGCAGGACACAGGGATCGTACGACAAATAACTTCTACTGGAATCGTTACACAGCAAGTATAAATAAAACCAAGATTGAGTTCCCCGCTGGAATCGACGTTTATCTCAGCAACAGCAATAACAATGAAGATTGCTTAGAATTGGTTCAAAATAGTGACAAATTTGTGGTGAACGATGTGTCCTGTAACAACTTGAAAATCGCAAATTCTGCTGTAAAGCTCTGCTCCATATGCCAAGTTCTGTAATGGTACAAAACAAACATTATATAAATAAACTGATTGAAACAATGACTCATTTGAATGTAGAAATTCAATAAATTCCAACTTAAATTTGAAATGCGTTTGTTGTGATTAAATTCGAAATATTTTCTATGTTTTATTAGGACCTTTAACATTATAAACAATGTTCAATTCAAAAACATAGTGGTAATACGAAAATAGAAAACAGAAAATATATGAGATATCTATGCGGTGTTTACACCGTGTCATCTTCTCGGATAAACTTTTAATTTTTGAATTTCTCGACGTTCGTCATTTGCTGTTAAATCGCTTTCCACTTATTAATGTATTTATTAATTTAGTAAACAAGTTGTCAATATTCAAATTAAATTTTTAATTGCGTCTTCCGGAGTTTTGTTTGCTATACACTGCATTGTCGCTCATGCCTGAGAAGTGTCTGAAGTGGAACCGAACGGAGCTTTTAAGCTTCTTTCCACAAATAAATTCTTTTCACATATTAAGGGCCTGTCGGAAGACTTTGTTTCGCTTCAGAATCTGGAAACCAAGTTCGCCACGTTTGGCTATGTTTAAAACGCTCAAATCTTTGTAAAGGAAAAACATTAGCAAACGTCTGGCAATGCTAAAGTGTGGACTTTTGAATGTAAGATCGGCTGTAAACAAAGCTCCATTGCTTAATGAAGTTATACAGGCAAATAACTTGGATGTTTTCATCATTACGGAAACATGGGTACCTTCTGACGCTCCAAATGCCATAAAATATGGTTTGGCCCCAGAGGGGTATTCCATCTTGCTCCGTCATCATGGCTCATCACAGGACAAACGTGGAGGAGGTCCGGCAGTTGTGCACAGCAACCTACTCAAAGCCACCTTAATTGTTGATGACATGAAATATCTTGGCTTAGAAAATCTCACAGTTAAATTTAATACATATTCATCGTCTTTCATCATCAGCTCAATCTACAGGCCACCAGGTCACGTTTCTACAGATTTTATAAATGAATTTAGTGATCATGTCGGCACCATCATCAATTTCAACATCCAATTCATCATTTGTGGTGATTTCAATGCACCGGGGCAGCTCAAAGTCATAAAACAACATCTTGAATCAACAATTGAAGCCCTTGCACTTTTTCAGCACGTCAACTCTTCCACCCATTCCCATGGTAATATACTAGACCTCGTCATCACCAGTATACGTCATACATGCATCATAAACAACGTTGGAGTCATGGACTGTGTTTTTTTTGACCACAGCCTTGTGACCTTCGATACTAGATTATCAAAGCCAAAACCTCCAGTTATTGTTCGTCAGCGTCGTAGTTATCGTCGTTTTAGTTCAACTGCTTTTCAACAAGAACTCTCTGATGCATTCTACGATATACTTTCGCGTGGTGATTATGACGTGGACGATCTTACATCCGCTATCCTCACATCTACAACCAATCTCCTTGACAAACATGCACCTTTTAGACGTCTGTCCCTACGAGGCAGCAATCGTCCAAAACATCAACTTTCAATTGGTGCTATAAATGCAATTCGAATCTGTCGTCGATTAGAAAGACAGTCGAAGCGATTTTGCTCAGAAATCATAAAAACTGAATACAAGAAGGCTAAAGAGATTGCTAAAACGTTAATTATGCAATTCAAGATCGACTCCATCAAAGAAGAGCTTCACTCTAAAAGTAAACCTCGTGATCTCTGGCGATCGCTCAACAACCTCCTTCTTTCTCGTCCGCCGCAACACTATTCTGATGATGAGTGCCAAATCCTTGTCAACTCTTTCACAAATGATTTTATATCAAAAATAAATAATATACATCAGTCAATCAAAGACAATATAATAACAGATAACATAACACCTTTTAAACACAGACCACAATCAACAAATATATTCGATGCCTTTTCTGCTGTTTCGGTTTCAGAGGTGTTAAAACTCACCTCGTCTCTTGATAATAAGACGTTGACGTTTTGCCTACTGTTCTTCTCAAAAAATTTTCTTCACTCTTTGCTTTTGTGATCTCAAAACTTGCTAATCTTTCTTTTAGCAAAGATGTTTTCCTACCTTTTTCAAAACTGCTTAAGTTCTTCCACTCTTAAAAAATCTAATTTTGATCCATCGGACCACTCAAACTATCATCCCATCTCAAACTTGTCTACTTTTTCCAAAATTCTTGAACGTTTGGCTTTAAATAAAATCCTTACACAGGTTACCTCTTCTTCAAATTTTTTACCTTCCCAGTCTGCCTATCGTCCTGGCTTCTCCACTGAAACTGTACTTCTCCATTTATATGATAATCTCTCTAACATTTGTGGTAACCGGAGCTGTGTTGCTATGATCTGTTTGGACCTATCTGCGGCCTTTAACACGATTAATCATCAAATAATCCTAGAAAGGCTAAAAATGGAGTTTGGCATCGCTGAAACAGCGTTGTCTTAGTTCAGTTCATATTTTTCAAACCGCCCCCAATTTATTAAACTTGGCACACAGGTCTCTTCTGTTTTTGCTTATCTACTGGAGTTCCTCAGGACTCTGTATTAGGACCAATGCTTTTCACTATTTATACTAGTCCCTTATCTAACGTCTTTAACAATTATGGCTTATCCTTTCATCAATAGGCTGATGACACAAGTATAGTATCTGAAATCTCCCACCAAAATATCACTTCTCAACTCGATAGACTTAACTCTTGTGTCTCATCAATAAAGGATTGGCATTCACTTAATTTCCTTTAACTAAATGCCTAAAAATCTGAAATAATGTTTTTTGGCAAACCACAGCAACTCACAAAATGTTTTCCACCCTCCAACATAACAATTGCTGGATCAAGCCTGTCCGCATCGACAAGTCTTACATTTTTAGGAATTACTCTTGATCCGTCTCTAACTTTCAAAACTCACACTTCTCCTCTCATCAAAATATGTAATTACATTATTTGGTCTATTTGCCATATTTCACAGTCAAAATGACCTCCACGCTAGCACGCTGCCTTGTGTTATCTCGCCTTGACTACTGCAACTCTCTACATCAGCTCTTGTCAATAAAGGTAACAAATTATGGTTCAAGGTTTGTCAGACCAATTCTTACACTAAAATCGCTTCACAGAGCACAATACATTTTGTTCTAATGTTTCAAATTTAATGAAGCACTGAACTGACGTTATCAAAATTAACCCCAACTTGCAATGTTATATCTTCAGTTTTGTTTGTTTATAATAGATGTTTTTGTTAGAGATCTTGTCAAAATCAACGTTTACGTTGTTGGTGTTAACTTTTTTTTCTTTATTTTTTTTGCATTCAACGTTGTTTTTGGTTATTGCTTCTTTTTACAAAAATGTTGTTGCTTCAGTAATGAGTTACTTGGTATGCTGTTTGCAGACTTTTATACAGTTACAAAAATTAATCTTTTCAGATTGAAACAAAATTCGTAAATGAACCGTAAATTTTTATGCTAATTTTGATTGTTTTCTGTTCAGTGCCTCATTAAATTTCAAATGAAAACGAATAAACGAGTCATCACGTAACTCGGGCAAGTGTGTCCCTATCGATAATCTCGCGGTTTTTCGGGAATTAGGAGAAAGGGGGTCCCACATAAGATAGACAAAACACATACACAATGAGACCGGTTCAACTGCGATGATGCGTTGGTACCAGATATAAAACACGAGGGCGCATTGGAGTATTAGGCAAGACAAGAATGGGCAAATCCCTACGCTAACCTTTTGTTGCTGTGAATTTTGTTGAAGAGTGATTTCAAGTATGAGACATATTAAGTTTGTCTCAAGTACATTCCTATAAAACGCATTACAGAGCACGATATATTTTCTCCAAAACAATAATGCCTAAAATGGGTTGTTTACTCCAAAAAAAAAAACAATAAACATCACGTTGAATGTGCTGTTAGTTTTTCAAACTTTTTAAAACTAAATTGATTTTACTTGTAGTTTACTACCAATGAACGAGAGTCGGTAGTTAGCTGTCTCACGTAACACACACACACACACACACACACACACACACACACACACACACACACACACAATATATATATGATTATTGTTATTGTTATTAATATTATTATTATTCATCTTCCAATATTATCATCTGATTTTTCAACACATTATGGTTGTACTTTATCAACCTGAAAGAAAATAATAATCATAATAATAATAATAATAATACCTAAAATTATGACAATATATAAATGCAATACTGTTGTTATTACGACTACTATCAGTACAACTGCTTCTAATAAGGATAATAATAATAATATTACTCATACTACTACTACCACTACTACTACTACTACTACTACTACTACTACTACTACTACTACTACTACTACTACTATTCATACTACTACTGCTGCTGCTACTGATAAAAATAATAACAACAACAATAATAATAATCTAAACCATAATAATCACATAAAGACAATGCTAATAATAATAAACCATAAAAATAATAAAATTAAAAAAAAAATTATCACTCACGCATCTGGCGATGTTGTAGCATGGGGCTCTGATGCATCTGATCTCAATCTCTTTGCAGACTTTTCCAGGTGGACACTCGAATCTCTGGAAAGTTATAATTAAAATAAATATTAATAATTGTTTCTATCATAATTATAAAATAATTATAAATGTTGACTGCGATTTAATAAGTTAGTTAATTTAATTTAGTCATCATTAAAAATAAGCACATGCGTCCTAACGTACTATACCATATCGTTAAACCGAGCAATGCCTACCAAACAACAATACAAAGCGAGAGAATACCAACAGGTATCAGACGGCACCATAAAATATCGTAACAGCAACCGATAAGATACCAGTATGAAACAAAACCGAACCATAAATATCAAACAATAAAAAACAATGCTATACCTAATGATGCAATATCAAACGTTAACGATGCCAATATATCAACACTATACTCTAATAATATCAACACTAAACCGATACTACAACCCAAAATACCGATACGATACAGCGAAATAACAATACGATGCAACGAAATACCAATATGATATACCGATACGATACTACAAAATACAGATACGAGATAACGAAATACCGATACGAAACCACAAATACCTCGCATCTATCGACGCATTCGCAAGTTCTGCATCCTTTTTCGTCGTAGAGGAACCCGCTGTTACACGGATGGCACTTCATCATTGGGCATTCTATTGAATATTTTTTATTACTAATTATTATTTCTTATTATTATTAATTGTTTATTATTAATTGTTAGTTATTTATTATTATAAATTAATCGTTTAATAATATTATTATCTATTTGTTAATAAATATTATTAATTATTTATTATTATTAAATAATAGTTATTATTAATTATTTATTTATTTATTATTGTTTCTTAATTATTTTCTTCTGTTAATTACAATGATGAAAAATTCTTATTATCATTATTGTTGATATTAATGTTATTGTTGTTAATGTTATTGTTGTTGTTAGTGTTGTTAATCTTATTGTTAATGTTGTTAATGTTATTTTAATTGTTGTTGTTGTTGGAAGGCAATTTCCCCACCGGTCACTTCAATAAAAACAACAATAATAAACTCTTGTTGCTTTTATCATTAGTGTTAATGTTATTGTGGCCGTTGTAGTTGTTGTTGTGATTATTTTTATTATTCTCGTTATTTAATATCGTTAATAAAAAGATCAACAACAACAATAATAATAAATATAATTGCAAAAGCAATAATAATGAGACATAATTTATTTTCCACTCGTTCAATTAAGAAATAACTTATGAAAAAAAATGTAATAATAATAATATTAATAATAGTAATAATTTTATTGTTATTATTATTACTACTATCTTACCTGCGTAGAGAACTGCAACCAATACAGACACGAGAACAATCAACTTCACTGAAGGGAACAACATTCTGACGCTCTACGAAGAGATCCGAAAATTTAAAAAAATTATATTTATTAGAAATTAAAGTTTATTAAAAAAATAATAATTTTCCAAATATAATTTTTGAATGATAATAACAATAACGACGTGTAGTGATCAAAGGCGTAATCATCATTACCATCATCAACATCATCATCTTTATTTCTTACCTTGTATTAATTGTTTTTAGCAAATGTTCATTTTCTTTTATAATCTAGACGACATGTATATTTTATATATATATATATACACACACACACACACACACATATATATATATATATATAAGGTTTATAACTGACGATAACATATATATATATGCATATATATATATATATATATATATATATATATATATTGGTAATAGACCATAATTTTTACAATATTCTATAAATTCTACCGAATGTTTGGCGTTAATATGTTTGTAGTTCGTTTTTTCGATTTTTCTCACTAAAGTTTTTTGGTGAACGTTTAGTTTTTTAAAATTCAAAATAAACATATTTTTCGAATTCATGCTGCAAATAAGGCCATATTTCCATGTGTACGTCAACATGACTCATATATCGGGATTACTACTACCTCACTGACTAGAAGGTTTACGATGCATAAACAGAGTGGTGCTATCAAATCTCATTTGGACTCAACACATTCAATCACAATTAGCCGTGAAATCCTCGACAGCAACACCAAAGTAATATACCAGAACAGCAACTACACGCATCTTAAAATTGCAGAAGCAGTCCTAATTGACATCAATAAACCAAAAATAAATATACAACAAAAAATGACAACCTCACTTCCAACCCGGCGCTTAACCAACAACGAAAACAAAGAAGTAATAAAAACTAGCATCGTAAATAGTGACAAAGAAGAATATGATGCTATCGATGAAGGAAAGAAGACCAAAGAAGATGACCAGCCAATTAAGAAACCTGACACCTAATTCGCATCAAAGTTCAATTTTACAACACCAAAGTTAATTTTTACAACGTCAGAGTTCATCTTGACAAAGTCAATATTTTCCTATATATACAGCAAGGAGCACTGATGATGATTCATTCGGAATGGAAATATGGCCTTATTTGCAGCATGAATTCGGAAAATAAGTTTATTTTGAATTTTAATAAACTAAACGTTCACCAAAAAACTTTAGTGAGAAAAATCGAAAAAACGAACTGCAAACATATTAACGCCAAACATTCGGTAGAATTTATAAAATATTGTAAAAATATATATATATATATACACATTAATAATAGTAATAATATTTACTAAACTAAACTAAAATGATGATAATAATAATAATGCTCTCATGTATGTATGTATGTATATTTATTTTAATTGTTTTATATCCGTATATATATATTTATGTGTGTGTGTGTGTATGTGTGTGTGTGTGTGTGTGTGTGTGTGTGTGTGTGTGTGAATATACATATAAACGTGTATATATGTAGTATAAATCTGTATCTGGACAGTTGTGAACTGATGTATTAATTAATCAACTCATTTATATGTATTAATCTGTGTGATTTCATGTATGTATTTCTATAGTTATATAGAAGTAATTTTATCTGTTTGGTGTTACTTTAATGTAATTTATTTCGATGCGGTTAATTTATTAATTATTATTATTATTTGTTGTTATTATTATTCTTTTAATTATTTTTTTAATTTGAGGAGTATAATTTGTTGGAGGCAACTGTTTATGTTATATTAAAACCAAAAAATTATAAATACATATATATATATACATATATATATATATATATATATATATTTTATTTCCAGTCATTTATTTGGTAAATAAGAAAATTACCAGGAGAACTAAAAGAAAAATAACTTGTGCAGACCACCTTAATTAAAATGTAACTGAGTGAATGTCATATCATAAAAATAAAAAATTTCAAATGATTAATTCAAATTGGAAAATAAAAATTTTACATCGTTTCTGCAATTGTCTAAAACATTATAGAATAGAAACAAAAATCAAAGTAATATCACGAGTATGGAATAATAATAACTAATTAAGTTTACAGGACATTTTCGAGAATTTTCGAAGGAGGAGAAAATTGTATGAGCCATTGCATTTACATTGCGACATTTACATTTACATCGACGGTGAAGTATTCGGAGGTTAGATTTCTTCAAATATCTCATCATTATTCTGTTTATTTTCAGGAAAATCATTCAAATATCTGATCTGCTGACGCCGCTGTTTTTTCGGTGTTAACATCTTTCATTGCAGAGGTATTTGTCTTGGCACTGGGCAGAGTGTTCGAGGAGTTGGTGTTATCTTTATTGAAGATCCATTCACGAATGACAACTGAGGCAGGCCAGTTTGATGCAGTCATCACCTTGCCATACTCCTCGGCCGGGACACACAATCTGAATGAGGAGTATTTTATTTCATCATCATTTCTACACGTTTAGAGGCCGGATAACAGGAAATCAAATTGATTCCTCTATTCTCACAGTGTTTTTCAATTTTGGAACTGTCAGGTAGTTTGACATTCCCAATGTAGAAAACTTTTTAATAATGGATTTAGATGCCGTGAAGAGGGAGCTAGTTGTGAGTGATCCCAAAATCTTTGAGGGTCTGTGAGATTTATTTTCATTAATATTTTTTTCAACTTTTTTAGCAATTGGCGGTAAAGAAATTGATTTGACTTTATTCTTACTGCGCTGAACGAGTGTCATACGATCGTCAGAAACATTATCGTCAGATTGTAATTTCTTATTGATATTTTCTTCAACTTTTTTAGCAATTGGCGGTAAAGATATTGATTTGACTTTTTTCTTACTGCGCTGAACGAGAGTCATACGATCGTCAGAAACATTATCGTCAGATTGTAATTCACAATCAGTTTTATTTGTTTTTGACACTAAAATATTTGACCATGAAGTATTGATTGTTTAATTTTTAATGCGATTAACATTTGTATCGTAGACATTACACGTAGCAAGATTTGTGCGAGAGTTCGTATCATGCGCGATACTTGAAACGAGATTTGTACAAGTAGGCGCACCTGTTAATTTGTTTACCAGCGATTTATTTCTATCCAGTATTCCATTCAGCACGGCGGCCATTTTGTCACCTTTTTCGTTTATTGCCTCCAACATATCATTCGACATCAAATTATATATATATATATATATATATATATATAACTGACGATAATATATATACATACATTAATAATAGTAATAATATTTATAATGATGATAATAATATTAATAAGTGTTCAAAGAATAGATGGAAATTTTTAAAACATTTCTGATTATTATAACGGATATTATTGTTAAAAATATTTTAAAGAGTAATTTGATATTTATTATTATTACTGTTATTATTACTAACAATAATAATAATATTATTATTATTATTATTAGAAATATTTTTAAAGACTATTTCGAGAGTTGTTATAATTTTTTGAAATATATGAATAAATGAAGTATTTCAAGGGCCTCATATTTTCGGAATTAATGTGTGAATAAATAAAATAATGAATGAATGGATGTATAAAATAACGAATGAACAAATGAATGAATGAATGAATTAATGAATGAACGAATGAATGAAAGAACGAACGAACAAATGAATGAATGAATGAATGAACGAACGAACGAACAAATGAATGAATTAATGAATGAATGAATGAACGAATGAATGAACGAACGAACGAACAAATGAATGAATTAATGAATGAATGAATGAACGAATGAATGAACGAACGAACGAATGAATGAACGAACGAACGAATGAATGAATGAATGAATGAATGAATGAATGAATGAATGAATGAATGAATGAATGAATGAATGAATGAATGAATGAATGAATGAATGAATGAATAATTGAATGAAAGAACCAATGACTAAACAAAAAAGAAAATAACTGAATTGTGAACTGTGTGCATGAATAGTTGTCTCGTTACATAAATTTGTCCAGTTGTTAACCACTGTTGTTGTCATTGGTAACCTGACCACCGTTACCACCTCGGTGGTCAATAACAATATATAACAATGGTGGTTGTGGTGGTCGATGTCGTGACTGGAGTTGTAGATGTTGTTGTTACTGCTGTTGTTGTTGTTGAAGTAGTGGTTGTCGGTTTTGTAGTAGTGGTAGTGGTTGTTGTTGTAGTGGTAGTTGTTGTGGTTGTTGTAGTGGTTTCTGTCGAAGTTTTGGTAGTTGATGTAATAGTAGTAGTTGTTGTTGTAACTGTAGTGGTTGTAGTAGTAGTTGGTGTTGTTGTTGCTGTAGTGGTAGTTGTTGCGGTAGTGGTAGTTGTTTCTGTAGCAGTAGTAGTTGTTGTTGTTGCCGTAGTAGTAGTTGTTGCGGTAGTAGTAATTGTAGTAGTAGTGGTCGTTGTTGCGGTAGTTGTTGCAGTAGTAGTTATTGTAACACTAGTTGTTGCAGTAGTGGTAGTTGCAATAGTAGTAGTAGTTGTTGTTTCAGTAGTGGTAGTTATTTGCATAAAAGATGTTACAAAAATTTCTAATTCCTGCTGAAAACAAACAACAAACAAACGACTGGCACTTGTAAAATAAATTTTAAAGAAAAAAAAATTTGTAACACATGACATACGACAGATTCTACAAAATAGCTGTTAATTATTTGTTAACGATGTTTGCTTGGATGGGTCATGGAAACCGTTATGTCAATTGTTCCAGAAATATTTTTAGCATAGTTTCTGCTTCTCTCTCTCTTTCTCTCTCTCTCTTTCTCTCTCTCTCTCCTATCTCTCTCTTTCTCTCTCCTATCTCTCTCTTTCTCTCTCCTTTCTCTCTCTCTTTCCCTCTCCCTCTCTCTCTCCTATCTCTCTCTTTCTCTCTCCTATCTCTCTCTCTCTTTCTCTCTCTCTTTCTCTCTCTCTCTTTTTCTCCTTCTCTCTCTATCTCTATCTATATATCTCCCTCTTTCACTGCATTTGTGTGTTTGTCCTATTGTATACATGCAAACAATAAGTAAACTGTCTTAAGTTAGGTTTAAGTTGTTTTTGGTCGTATAGATGAAAGTTTAGTTTTATGTTTGATTGGAATGATATCTCTGCATATATGCTTGTACGTTTGTGTGTTTTATTTTCTGTGTGTTTTGTTTGCTTGTATGTATATGTGTTTGTTTGCGATTTTGTTTGTTTGCTATGGTACTGTAGTGAGTGTAATGATGAGTCTAGAGTTGTTTGTATGTGTGTTTTTCATAACTTGCAATCTTTAGAAACATAAATCAAGTGAAAATTAAAAAAATCTGAACTTTGCACCTTTGAATTTGAATAAAAAATCTAAATAATAATTTAAACTTTACCATAATAATTTAAATAATTATTACCATAAATAATTACCATAATAATTTAAACTTTATTAAAATCTACTATAAAGGATGAATTTCTATATATAATTCACGTATTGTGTATGTTTTTGTTAGTCAAGTTAGAAACTGTTGTGTGCGTGTGTATACGTGCGTGCGTTCGTGTGTGTGTGTATGTGTGTGTGTGTGTGTGTATGCGTGTGTATGTGTGTAAACAAACTCGTGTGCTTCGTGTTCATATTTGCTTAATCCCTAGCAATCCTAGCAATGCATACATGCATATGGACGGGTTTACGATGTAACAGTTATGTGTCAGTTGGGAACATCAAATAAACTGTTAATTAATTATCAAATCTATCGGCTGATTGATCGGCTTAGCTAATGGATGGAGGGGTAGATGAATGAATGAATGAATGAACGAACGAACGAACGAACGAACGAACGAACGAACGAACGAACGAAAGAATGAATGAATGAATGAATGAATGAATGAATGAATGAATGAATGAATGAATGAATGAATGAATGAATGAATGAATGAATGAATGAATGAAGGAATGAAGAACCAATGACTAAACAAAAAGGAAAATAACTGAATTTTTTATAATTTTTAAAAGGAGCTTCAAAATTGAAACGATTTTTCAACTCCAACACTTGAAATAAACTAAATTATTAAAAGCACTCAAATATTTAAAGTTAAAATCTCATGAATTTTTTAATTAATAATTCATGGAGTAAATAATAATAATAATGGCAAAGGATCTTTTATTTTTCATCAAATGCGTAAAATCAATAATTAATTATTTAGTTAATTAATTGAAAAATAGTCATGATTAAAATGAAATTATAATCATCATTGCTCTTTATTTGAAATAAAATAAATACAGCAATGATAAGATAGTTATGAAAATTGATTCACGCATTGTTCCGATCACAATATGTTGGCATATGATGATGATATCACACTGCTAGTTAAATATTTGGTCCAGCCAATTTTAATTAAAAGCAAATTGAAAGAATTGTAAAAGCCTATGGACGATAATTCAAAAGAATGGTATAATGATTAAAATTGTTCAACAGGTTTTTTTGAGTTTGTTTTGCCTGAACTTGACAAAGTTTGTTTCGTGGCAAGTATTTCAATCGTATTAATGCTGAGAATGGCGATGTCTGGTCTAAGCGATCTGAATAGCTCTGATAGTGGACGTGTCGCATCATCCTCTACATCCGCGAAGATGGCGATATTCGGGCCAGCACATGCCTTGATATTGTTGATAATTATTGAGAGAACTTTGTTGTGGCGATTTAAGTATCGTTTGAGTGCTGCCGTTGAGCTACAATTTGAGAACACGTGTTTATTAGTTAGTTTCACGTTGCAAAGAGGGCATAATGCATTGGTTGTTTTGCCCCATCTTTGAAGGTTAGCATTTGTAGGCAGTTGTTGTTTAATATATTTTCTTACAAATTTATAAAGGACTTCGGATAGTTTTACTGTCGATTTGGACCATCGTGCAATTTCTGAGTTGCTGATATTTTCAATCACTGATTTGACCAGAGCTCCTTGACACTGCAGTATCGACAGGTGATTCAGGTCCCTCTGATAATAATTATAATAATTAATATAATAATAATTAATATTTTAAATTAAATTAATTTTTTATTAATTTTTAATAATTTAAAACGAAACGAACGCTACCGATATTGCAAATACTATAGTTAAGAGAGGGAGTGAGAGGAAATAAAATTGATTGATAGTGAAAGAATATACAACAGAGAAAGAGTGAAGAAAAAAAGAAAGTGAACTAGAGAGACCTACGCACACTGGCTTTAATAGTAAAAATAATAATAATAATAATTTGTTTTGACACTCCGCAGTGAAGCTAGCGCTTTTGAAGTTATTCAATAGGGGCGCTCTACAAATCCTCGGATACAAATAAAGATACAGATTTGTGCATAGCGTCAGAGGTGCCCGGATGAAGAAATGTCCGCATGACCACCAAAGGTCTGTTCGATCAGGTGCTGATTCAATCGTTTCTTGAATAGTTTAGTTGCTGATGGATGATGAGTGGCATGTTCCATATTGATAGTGAGCAATATGAAAAACCATTAATGACAAGAGCTGATTTATTGATTGGTTAATGCAGTTGCAATAATTAAGAGAGACGGAAGTAATGGCTATAGTTAGCAGATGAACGAAGGCAAATAAATGTGTAAAGATATGGGGTTTGACTGTGAGAGATTGTCTTGCAGGCGATGCGACAGTTTATTTAAAAAGAATTTTGAAGCTCGTTTCTAAAGTGACTGGTAAACTCCGTTTGAGATCTTTCCTTAGTCTGTAATCTCGTACTTCTGCCATTCAAATCTGTTCATTTTTGGAAGAGAAGGTTTTCCGTTTTTTTTTGGCAAAGGTTTAGAATGATTAACCCGTCAAAGAGTAACATCAAGAAAATTAGTCGTGAAAAATTCAAGGAGCGGCTTAAACACCACTTGTCCAACAACCTGGAGACAAGTAAGCATCTCAGAAGTTTGCTTACAAGAAGCGCCCTACAAATCTTGGATACGATGTGTTCTAAATGTAGCCACGGGCGTGGTTAATGGTCTATGGTCTGTGTTATACAATTTTTTATAATAAATTGTAAATTAAGAAGACTAATTAAATAATATTATTTTATTTTTATCATTATAAAATATTAAATTATTTACTCGATTATTTAAAGTTGACTCAATGCACAAAAGAGCATCCCAGCATAATGTTGTTATTTTAATTAGTCGACAGGCGGCAGTT